AACTCAGCACGGAGCTGGACTCGGGGCTCGATCTCACGACCCTGAGATCATAACCTGAGCTGAAACCAAGAGTCGGATGCTCAACCGACTCAGCCCCCCGGGTGGCCCTAATCCATCATTTTTTTAAACAAAGGTTTACATGTGGTTTGATTCATTCTTTACAACAAGTTTTTACGGTATCCCTAAAATTTTACAACCCATTTCCTGAAAGGACCATTCCACGAATAATGACAGTGGTTTTGTGTTCATTAGTCTAGGTAAAGATAACCTCATAATTTTTGCAACTGTTAGGATGCGTTTATTCTGTTCTGCTTATGATGAGAAAGTCACGACGACTGAACGTATCGTGGGCAGAAAGATATGAAACAAAGGGCATACCAATTTTCCACAGAGTATTCCACAGGTTTCTATTCCTCTGAGTGTGTTAGATTCTGCCAGCAGCAGAAATCTCTGGCAAAGGTCTCTTGATAAAACTACACACCGCAGTCCTTCGACCACTAAATCTAAGAAACAGGAAAGGCAGAACAAGCTAAAGAAACAAATCTTACATCCCATCCATCAGAGCTGTTTTTGGCAAGCAACTGCAGGGCCATTGAAACATAAAAGATGAAATTTTCAGGTGCTCCACTTTCTGTATTTTATTTTTAAACTCTTTAACAGTAAGCATCAATGAGAAGGAAGGTAAAATTCTGCTTTGCCTATAAATTGTCTCATGAACAAGGGGGGGAGGCACCAGCATTTTAACACCTTTGCACCTTAGATCAACTGTTTACACGTATGTGTGAGTTTTTTTTTTTTTTTTGTGGCACAAAGCAAATACACTGCTAAGTGCCAAGGTTGCAGAGCATATATCTCACAGACCGTAAGACATAGGAGAGATGCTCTTCACTGTGTCTTCCACATGTTACTTTATGTCTTTATGGAAGTTGGTGATGGTTAAATAAGAGCACCGTTTTCAGGAATAATTCGCGATGGGGTAATTTATAAAGCGGTTGCCTACCACAACTCTTAAAATAAATGGAAACAAGACGCCATCGGACAGGGTCTGCGTTTGGATTTGGGAACTTGTCGGCGGGGATGGAGCCGCCCCCGAGCAGCCCTAACTGTGGGCAGAAGCACATAATCCACCTGGAGGTTGACTACCTGTGTGCGCAAGACCCTCCTGGGGCAGGTAAAGGCGAAACATTGACGTTTTAAGCCGAGGTCTGTGCCAACCATTTTCTCGGCATCTTCTTTCCAGTGTTTAAGTGTCCACCTTTAAGATTCAGGTGTTTCTTGGTAGAAAATACAGGAAAGAAAAAAAAATGCTCGGAATTCTCTTTTCAAATCTCTGGCCCCATGACCACATAAGGGCCCCGTTTATGAGAGAGTTGCTGCTCTACGGGGGGGTGGGGGGGGAGCAAATTGTGCTGCCTGAACGTTAGGTTACGGCTGCGGGAAAGCCGGATGGCACTGAAATTCACACCACACCCTGCCGCCGCGCTACCACAGCGGATAATGGGAAGAGGAGCCCCGTCCCAGCCGTCGCGGAAAGGAGGCTCGGTCAGAAGCGAGGCCGGGCCTGGCAGGGAGGCCGCCCATCACTTACTGTGCACGGCGCTCAGAGCGGCCGCGGGCTTTAAAGCCCGGTTTACGGGAGGTGAGTGCCTGGCGTCAGGGGCCGCCTCGCTCTTAGGAGGCTGGTCTGCGAACACATTCAGCAGGGCACTGTTCCGCTGCGCGGACAAGCAGGACAAAGCGCTCCCGTCAATCTGCTCCGCCAGCGCCGGGGTTTCCTGGCTTCGCATCTGACCCCGGGCTAATTCCTGCTTCTTGAGCTGGTCTTCGAAAAATAGGAACTGCTCAGACTCCAGCTGCTGCTGGCGCATCCGAGCCACCCGCTTCCTTTCGGCCTCGATCAGGCTCTGATGCTCCAGTTGTTTGAGAATTTCCGCCTTGTATTTGTTCTGGAAAAGGCGCCAGCCAACTGGGATTAGACATTTAACTTCCCCGCTTGCCAAGGACAGAGAGACACAGACGCTGCGGTGCGCGTGCAGGGACACGCAGGTGACAGCGCGGGAAATAAGAAACCATCACGGCAAGAGCCCCTTAGTCTGATCAAGGCGGCAGCTCCACGTCCACTCATTATGTTACCGGGGGCAGGCCGTGACAGTCACGTCCCCTCCATTCCCCTGCGCGTTAGAAGAATATTAGAAACTCAAGGTCACGGTTGGCGGCGTGGCCTGCCTCACCGATAACCAGAGCGAAATATCTCGGGAACGGTTCTATCACCCTAGACCTCACTGGCCAATACAGTAGCTGCCAGCCCTGTGGGCTACTTAAGTTTAAATTAATTCAAGTCTAATGACGTTAGACATTGAGTTCCGCAGTCCTGCCAGCCACCTTTTAAGTATCACGTGGCTGGCGGCTTCCGCACGGAACATTTTTCTACCATGGGAGGAAGTTCTGTTGGCCGGTGTTGCCCTAGAACCTCTTGCCTTGGACTCTAGAACTCAGACTGCTGGAACTTTACAGAGAAGGGGGAACCCCTAGGAAACAGTTCTCAAAATGGGGTCCAATCATCTCCATCAGGACGAGCCAGAATTTTGTTAAAATGAGGATTCCCAGGCTCCCTAGTCTTAGAAAAAAAAAATCCAGGCATTATTAGGTCAGAGAATATAAATCTTTAATAAGCTCCTCAAATGGTTTTGATTAAAAGTCACTTTGGGAAGGGCAGGGTGGGGGACACAGCTTACGGCAGCAGTTTGGGGGTGTGCACGAATCCCCCAGGGTCTCGTCAGAAGGGCTGACTCCGACTCAGCAGGAGTGGGGCGTGGCCTGAGAGTCTGCATTTCGAACAAGCTCCCGGTGATGCCCGTGCTCCCTATAGCAAGGGCTTACTGATGGGCATGTCCATCTCTCCTAGGCATAAAGGCTGCCACTCTATCTCCACACAGATTTCTCTGTGATATATACTTCGGGACACTGTTGCCCACTGGGACCGAATTGGTGTCATCAAAGGCAGACCGGGCTGTTCCTCCCTGGGAGACCCTGAGGGGACGACCACACGCACACTGCTGATGGGAAGGAAGACTGGCCTGGGCCTTTCTCTCCTTTGCCGTTGCTTTGTGTGAACCTCCAAGAGCATTCTCATCTATCATACTTCAAGTCAAATCCAAATCATCCATAGCCGCACTTGAGGCAACGTTCAGATTTCAACATTCCCTCTGTCCCTTGGTCAAAACGCCGCACTCAACCCTGACTTCCAGCTACACCCACAGGAAGCCCGGAGGTTCCCAGGGCCACATTCAGAGTTCATGAGCCTGAACTCAAGCGAGAGCCAGCACAAGTGACAATTTCAAAGCACATAAACACACAGTCCAACAAAAAAAGCGAAGCGATTTTTATAACATTGCTGAAGACATTAAGAGTTTGAGTGTTGAACTCGAGGTCCTAGAGATCAATTTTTTCTCTTAATGCCATTCAATCTCTTAGACATCATTATCATTGTCACTCTTTATGTAATAATGATGCAGAAGCCACCATCCATTGGTGATACGATTACATTTCACTCATATGGTTAGCTATTATTCCCTCTCAATGTAATATTGACTGTAAGACTGAAGAATCGAATTCACATTTCCAAGGCCTGCATAATAAGGTAAGTCAGAAACTATGTACTATTCTCCCTATCTCCCACTGCCTCTGTTCATCACCAAAGAGCAGTCATCTGCCTCAAGGTTACAGTGGCCAAGAGTTGGTCAAAAAGCTCCATTTAAATTCAATGTAGGAAGTTTATTTTCTAATGCATTACATGATTAGATGTTGCAGGGTAATAAAAATACCACATCTTTGGTGCAAGTGCTTAACCCGTATATCAACATGAATTTTTTATTGGTTTTACATCACTGCATCTTTAATTTTTAATTTAAATGCACAAGCCATTTGAAAAACTCACATGAACATGAAATTTAAAAAAATGTTTGCACAGAAAACAGTCATGAAACAAATGTACCAATTGAACTTACTTTGCTTTGCAAATATTCTTGGTATTCTATGTTATATTTCTTTAAAAGGTCCTTTTTCAATTCATCTGTCCTTGGGAATGCAATCTCCTTCAGTTTCTTTTAAAAATATATATATACATATTGATTAGTGGGATTCTCAGTATAGTCTTTCAGATCATCAGCTGAGAAAGAAAAACAACTTGTATGTGTATTAGAAATCAAGATACAAGTAACCAAAGATGATGGTGGACATATAAACCTCTCCTTGCTATGGCTCCAAAACACAAATTTTCAGTAGGGAAGGGAAAGCATTATCCCTCTCATAAGACCTCAATCGACTCGGTTAGATAAGCATTCCGTCTAGGTAGGTACCCCGTTTTTAAGCAGTGGGTTTGTAACTGCATATTCCACTGTATGCAAATGCTATGGCATCATAGTTCGAAGCGACGCTGGAGAACATGGTAGGTAGGGATTGCTAGGCTTGACTGCAAAAAAGAGGCTGAGGCACTTTGTATACAAATACAGATTCCTAGGCCTCCTCCCAGTTCCCCTGAATCAACATGTTTAGAGAAGGGGTTGGGGGATCTGGATCTCAAACAATTTTCCTGTGATTCTTCTTAGTGGACAGAAAATCTGGGAAATCTGATTAAGTCCAAGTACTACCCTCCTTTTCAGAGATGAGGGAACAAAGGCCTATAGAGATTAGAAGTACTACTAGCTAGTGGCCCCATTATGACTAGAATCCAAATCTGACTCTGGCCAGGCTCTTCCACTAAAATTTCTTTTCTCTTAATCTTCTGCCATCCATCCATCCGTCCATCTATATCCATCCTCCCATCTATCCATCCATCCTCCCATCCTCCCACCCATCCATTTATTCAACAAGCATAAACAAAGAATGTATATGCTTTCAGAAAATGGCTTCCTATGAGAAGAAATAAGAATAAAACCAAATCAGAGTAAAAGAGTCAGCTTGGCAGAACATACAGAACAGCCTGAGTTTGAATGAACAAGAGAATTCGGTGGAAAGGCTACACAAGGCATGGCAGTGATTGCCCCTTCAGATAAGTGTGTATAGAAATTTTTAAAAATGTAGATGACCATTTGACACAATCTGGGTTCTTACAGGCAGCCTCAGGCCAGACATAGTGGTAAGAGAGCCTCTTGTCCATTATATGGTCAAGCATCTTCGGAGAGTTACTTAAAATTTCATGGCTTTGTATATACCGTGTTATCTTCCTCCATATATAAGATCAACCAAACTACTTAACACAGATACATGGGAAACATTTTAAAAATGTTATTTAAAAGGATATATATATATATATTCTCAGCTAAAAATACTTGAAGCTCTATCGGCTGCCAAGGTTGACGGTGAATACAGAACTTTTCAGCAAACATCTTCCTTTTCCTTGAGACTATTTCAAGACACCCCTTACCCTTAAACACTTGATTACGCCATAGGCTAGCACCCCACAACACCTTCATAATATCCTGCTTTTCTGGGTACTACAAGAAAAGAACTAGAACTTTGGGGCCACCTTAATAATCAACACTGATTTTCAAACACTTCTGAGGTTCAGGACTGTATGGAAGAATCAAAACCCGCCAAAATGACTCTCAAACAAATCCGGGGAATTGAACCACCTTTCTTGCAATCCCTGGGAAGAACAGTGAATAATTCCTTCTTCTCGCCACAAAGACATTGAGCACATTCTCGATCTTTTTATTTTCTCCCCCCTTCCAGTTTCAATTAGACATCCCACACTGGCTCTGGAGCAATGATTAAAGGTCCAAGAAGAAATCGAAACATCTTGGCTAATGGAATGAATTTTCTGTGCTCAAACTCTCCAGAGGATGAGATGAAGGAAGGGAGGAGGAGGAGGAGATCAATAATGGAGACATGTGGAGCATTTGACCCCCGGGGGGAGAATCGACCTCACAATACCTTCATAATATCCTGCTTTTCTGGGACTGCACATTGCTGGTAATCTCGATGGCTGGGAAGCTTTTCTACAAACAAGCTAGGAAAAGAGAAAGCACATCCTTAGCATTATATGACAGGAAAAGCTCAGTGATGGTTTCTTTTTTTCTTAAAGATTTTATTTATTTATTTTGAGACAGAGAGAGAGAGAGAGAGAAGGCATGCATGAGCAGGGGGAGGGGCAGAGGGAGAAGGAGAGGGAGAGAAGTAGACTCTGCTGAGCGCGGAGCCCAGTACAGGGCTCGATCTCACGACCCTGAGATCACGACCTGAGCTGAAACCAAGAGTCAGACACTAAACCAACTGAGCCACCCAGGTGCCCCTGTCAGTGAAGGTTTCTAATACGAGAACGAAACTCCTTTTCAAAAAGGACGTGCTTAATACATTATTATTTAACCTATATTCTTTCCATCAGCCTTTCCACCAAAGGCTGGCATGAGTATGATTTTGGCATTACAGGGAAGTAAGCTCTGTGGACTGAGCGCTGAGGATAAGAGGGTCAGGATGCTCCCTAAGAGACCATGTCAATTTGGTCTTTCTAGGGTCCTGGGTGCTTGATCCGCCAGAACACTATCTCACTCACGTATGCTGCTAGCAACACAGAGGATCATGTAAAAATGTTAAGAGTTTAGGAAGATCGGAGTGGTGGGGGTGGGAGGGATGGGGTGGCTGGGTGATAGACACTGGGGAGGGTATGTGCTATGGTGAGCGCTGTGAATTGTGCAAGACTGTTGAATCACAGATCTGTACCTCTGAAACAAATAATGCAATATACGTTAAGAAAAAAAAAAAAGAAGATAGCAGGAGGGGAAGAATGAAGGGGTGGAAATCGGAGGGGGAGACGAACCATGAGAGACGATGGACTCTGAAAGACAAACTGAAGGTTCTAGAGGGGAGGGGGGTGGGAGGATGGGTTAGCCTGGTGATGCGTATTAAAGAGGGCACGTTCTGCATGGAGCACTGGGTGTTATACTCAAACAATGAATCATGGAACACTACCTCAAAAACTAATGATGTAATGTATGGTGATTAACATAACAATAAAAAATTAAAAAAAAAAGAGTTTAGGAAGATCAATGTAATCTCTTCTTACCATTGAAAAAGACTCAGAGGACCACTGATGAATCAGGAGTGCCACGGTGTCTATGTGTCTATATCGAAAATTCTTTTTTTTTAAAGATTTTATTTATTTATGTGTGTGTGAGAGAGAGGGAGAGGGAGAACGGGGTGGAGCCGAGGAGCCCAACGCGGGACTCGATCCCAGGACCCTGGGATCGTTACCTGACCGAAGGCAGACGCTTCACTAACCGAGCCACCCAGGTGCCCTGATATCAGAAACTCTTAACTGAAAATTCACAACTAAGAGAAATGACAGTCAGAATCCCTAGTGGATGAGGAGGTGCTAATTAGGAGTTCATTATTTTTCATCACTTTTTTGAGGAACAAGGGACAGCAGAGGTAAAGGGAAATCCTTAGACCAAACCAGATGCATCACTTCCACGTAAAATGAAGATTTTGCTTTCACAAGGGCAGGGAATTCTGGGTTTCTTTTTTTCTTACTGAAGTATCCCTAGCCAGTAGAATAGTGTCCAGCTAATGATGTGTGCTCAGTAAATATTTGTTGAATAAACGAAAAGTCCTTCCTTGATAGACCATGATGGGCTATAAATACTATTTAAGATCAACTAATACATGATACCTTATTATTGGTGTCCTCTCACTTACAGATCACACGTGCTCTCATCATGTGGCCTACAGGGGACACTGGGTTGGTAAAATAACTCATTTCTTGAATGAGGAAGTTATGGTTTAAAGAGGCTACAGAAATTGTTAGTTGCCTAAAGTAGCTATTTTTTATAAATAGAATAAAGTCACAAATGTTTGGAGTTGAAGAGAGCTTAGAGAAGTCTTCCATTTGGAGATAAGAGAGACTTCTGCCCCTACGTCTTCCATTTGTAATGAAGAACTGAGGCCCACGGGGTATACGTGCATTGCAGATTGTCACGTGGTTCATGACAGAAGGGAACTCCAACATTCCGGTGACTCAGTAATGTGGACAGTGGAGTAGTCTTTCGCTTAACCACACTTACGACCCCACAGGAACGTGGGCAAAAAACACCAGCAGAAGGCAACACAGAAATATTAGCAACTGGTGACCTAGAGTTCAGAAATTAAAGTTTTTGGAGAATGTGTGCTATCAATTCTGCCCAACAGCTTCCGATTTCATATTTATTGTTAGCTCTCTAGAAACCAGTGGTTTCCCCATGTAGGCTGAGTGTTGCCAACTGTCCAGTTCTCAGATGTTCTCAGGTTAAGTCCCCAAGTGAACGAGGGAGTCAATCATCATGTGACTTTTAATTAAGCTAAAAGTACGGGTTTCAGGTAGCTGCTTTCACTCAACACTTTGGAAGCTCTTTTATACCTAGCACTATTACACAGCTAAATAAATTGACTCTTTTTTTTCAATAGATTCTATTTATTTGAGAGAGAGAGTGTGAACGAGCGGGGGCAGGGGGCAGAGGGAGAAGCAGACTCCCCGCTGAGCAGGGAGCCTGATGTGGGGTCGATTCCAGGACCCTGGGATCATGACCTGAACTGAAGTCAGTTGCTTAGCCGACAGAGCCACCCAGGCGCCCCAATAAATTGCCTTTTTAAAAAATACTAACTAGGGGCGTCTGGGTGGCTCCATTGGTTAAGTGGCCGAGTCTTGATTTCGGCTCAGGTCATGATCTCAGGATCCTGGGATCAAGCCCCATGTCAGGCTCCAAGCTCAGTGGGGAGTCTGCTTGAGATTCTCTCTCCCTGCCCCCTCCCACTCTCTCTCTTTCTCAAATCAATAAATAAATCTTTAAAAAAATACTAACTACAATGTGAAACTGCTACTTTCTATCCCTGAATCAGATCCTTCCTATAACTGCCAACTTACTGCCCCGGCCCAACCCATCAAGTCAAATTTTAAAACCGTTAATGGTCTGTTCCAGGCGCTGGTCTGTTCCAGGCGCTGTGGATGGAGCTGCAATATGGTTCCTGCTCTCACAGAGCTGACATTCCTGTGGGGGGAGGACAGCATAAAACAGGACATTCTCTTGGTGAAGAGTGCCAAAGACAGGCACATGCACGTCACTACACAGGGCTATTGAGAGACTTGTTCATGTCCCTGAGGCTTGCTCCATGCCTGAGCCTCAGAGCTGGTGTGGGGATGCCTCTGAATACATTACTTGGTAACCTAAAAACGTGGGACAGTTAATGCTTTTGGAGATTGCAAAATTGGTCTGAATATGAAAATATTCCTGAAGTCCAAACCGTTTCACTAAAACAGCATGTAAATATTTTCCCATTTTGAAGACCTCCCAAACAAAAGACTTACGTTATAAATTTGTTATAAAGGACAAAGGCATTTTCCAAATTTCCTTCTTCCAAATACACCGACGCCATTCTCTCCATCTCTACTCCAGATCTAAAGTAGCGGCGTGGGGTGATATCTTCAGTGATGGTGATATTACACCCGAGCTTGCTGAGGGCACGGACTCGCTCCTCTGGGCTGAGGGAGACATCCGTATGGTCAGGCAGAGCAGCTAACTTTTTCTGCAAAGCAAAAATGGAACCTCTGAGTAGAAATAAGAAATGAACAGGACTGAAATTACAGGTGTATTTTCTGCACTAAATACCCGACACCAGTCCCTAAGGAAAGCATTTCCTAAGAGTTAATGATACCATAAAAGTGCAATCTTTGTGCAGAAACACATGGGCCAGACACCAAGAAGACATGTATCTCTAGGATAGACACACCTTTGTGTTGGGGGCAAATCTCCTTTAGGGTTCAGGGTACAATTATGTGGCAGTTCCTGGGTATGCAAATGCTTTAGGTCATTTTAGGTAAAGTATCATTGACCCTTATGTCCTCATGGATACTTCCATTCCGGCTCACGTGAAGCAGACCAGCAGGTGGACTCTTGTCTGGGGAGGGCTCACATCATGCTCCTCTGAGGGGTCTCCAAGAGGTGGTCTGCGTTCAAAAGTTACTCTAAGGATTCAATGCTCTTCCACTATAAATATATCCAGTTTAATAAGAAGCTTTTAGGACCTGTTTTTTCACCAAGTGAACGAAACCTCACCAATAAGTCCTGTTCAAGGATACCCCCTATTTCTTTTTAACATAAAAAGACTCTTAGACCTGCACATAATAATTAATAGTACATTAACAGGCACGGTTAATTAGTCCCTGACTGAGAAAATAATGAAAATCATTACTAAGAAAAAGTCAGTGATATTAAGACATACATTTGTACTTTATTCATAAAAATAGCATCTGTACACATTTGGGAAAACACAGAACATATGCATTCAGGATAATTATTCAATGATTCAATGAAAAGCTCAGTGCTTCGGAAAGGCAAAAAAGTCAACAAATCTTTTTTCTGTTGAAGGCCGGATAGCAAACATTTTGGGCTTTGCAGGCCTTAGAGTCCCCACCACAACTACTTAGCCCTGCCGATGTGCAAGCAGCCACAAACGTAAGCAAATGATCCTGGCTCTGTTTTCAAAACAAGCAGGTGACTTTGGCGCTCAGACCATGGTTTGCTGACCCCAGCTTCAGACCACTGCTTCTCCAAGTGCGGTCCATGCTCCAGCAGTATCAGCATCAACTGGGAGTTTCTTAAAAGTACAAATTCCCAGGCGCCTGGGTGGCTCAGTCGGTTAAGCGTCTGCCTCTGGCTCAGGTCATAGTCCCAGAGTCCTGGGATTGAGCCCTGCACCGGGCTCCCTGCTCAGCGGGGAGCCTGCTTTTCCCTCTGCCATTCCCCCTGCTTGTGTTCCCTCTCTCACTGTGTCTCTCTCTGTCAAATAAATAAATAAAATCTTTAAAAAAAATGTTAAAAAAAAAAGTACAAATTCTCAACAGGCATCCCCTGGCATCTACAGATTGGAGGCAGGCTTGAAGAACCCATGTTTCAACTGGTGTTCCCAGAGGCACTGATGCATGCTGCAGTTTGAGAAACGCTGCTTTAGACACCTCTAGCAACCTTTGATCAACAGAAATGGAATTAGCCCAGAGCAAATTTAGCTCCCCGAGTCAGCCTCTGTCAGTCAAGGGCAGCGCATTTGATTAAAAGGTCTGTAGAAAGTTAAAAAAGAAATCCACAGGTGGAATGGTTTTAGTCTGGCCATGAATGACGGATCCAAGCTGTCAGGGCAGGCTGCAATGAATCTTCCGATGCCCTGGGGGGGTCCACTGTGGTGGCAATTTTGTAACAGATAGAACCCTAGAGACCTGGAATGATTCTTCTTTCTTTTTTTTTTTTTTTT